AGATCTGCCCTCACAGAGGAGGGAGAGCTTGTACCTGAAGGCGGGCTGGGTGGGGGCTCTGCAACTTACCTGGCTGCTTCTTGCTCCTTGTGGCCCAACTGAGGGTTGCTGGGAGCAGCGGGCAGGGCTTTTTGCATGTGCCCACCCTCTGGGCTCCTTACTGCCGGAGCTCCGCTCCTGTGCACTCCTGCAGGAAATGACCCCTGTCTGTAAGCATGTTTCCAGGAACATTTCTTTACAACATGTGCTTGTGTATATGCTGGGAGATACTAGGCATACAAAACATCGTGTGTGATAGCACATTAAATGCAAATGCCTGTCCACAGGGGAGAATAACCCTATTTCTTAGCATCCTGTGAAATAGGTCACATAAATGTTTTCTGTATCAGCTTCCAAATGGTTTCTCGCAACCAAGTCTTACGAAAAATAAGCGGGGCTTTATTAGGATTTGAGGTAGTTAAATACAAAACCGTGCATCGGAAGCAGACAGATTGAAACGCGAGGATCTGCATACCGTCCAGCAGGGCTCCAAAGCTGATTTAGGACAACCTCAGTCGTCCGACAAGCATAGTACGTTCGAAAACGATAATAACCCGCTTGTGTTCTGGGTGCGTTTGTTGGTGTTTGATATTTGCGGAAGGGCGAGAAGTAGGAAATACTGCTGTTTGGGGGAAAAATTGAGAATGGACATGTAAAGATGGAGTGTTTCTAGGTGAAAATTCGCGCTTAGTGTTCGAGGCCTTTGCAGAAATACTGACAGTTGACAGCTGCTGTTGCCCTAATAGGATTAAAAATAAAGAAATTAGTTGTGCCGACTTCAATCTGCCGTTTAACACCGTGAACCACCTGGGACCTGCCGTCCTACTGACACTTCCAATTCCTGAATTACAGAAATTGTTTAACTGGATCTGATCTATGAACACTTTGAAATGCATTCTGATTATCGCGGTCTGTTGTTAACAAGCTTATTCTACTCTTCCAGCCGGTTTTTAAATCCGTTCCGGAGTGTAGCGAAAAATCAGCAGCACCTCTTTTCCTGGGCTTTCTCCCTGCCCATTCCTCCTCCTCCTCCTCCTCCTCCTCCTCTCAGCAGCACCTCTTTTCCTGGGCTTTCTCCCTGCCCATTCCTCCTCCTCCTCCTCCTCCTCTCCTCCTCCTCCTCCTCCTCCTCCTCCTCCTCCTCCTTCTTCTTCTTCTTCTTCTTCTTCTATCATTTTAGCCTTTTAAAGTGAGATTGCAGTGGTTCCCTCCCCAGGCATTGCACCCCAGAACTAAGGGCTACCAAGAAGAGTGAATAGTTAACAACAATATAAAAACGTATTCCGGTTGACTGCTCTCCGACACTGTCATTTGGGAGAACAGAATAGCCGCCTCTGTGTTCTGGTGGCTCTGTTTCCGCGCTCTTCAGAGGAAGTGTTAATGGGTCCCTGAAGGTTAACTGCGGTGGAAGGAGCTAGTCCCCCGTGTGTATAAGCGATTTATGGGTCTGTTGTGTTCTGGACAATCGTTCAGGTGCATTGGTCTTTTCCCCCCGCCCCGAAAAACACCCTTCGTTCCGTTATCACACCTTGCTCCCTCCAAGCTTGTTCGAAAATGCAGCCGTGCCTTTATAAACTGGTCCCTGCTGAGTGGTATTGATTAGACAGGAGGACAGGTTTCTTGTCTCCTCCTCCCTGAAGGTTTTGTTGCTCCACTGACCACAGTTTGACTCTTCTCCTAATGCTGGGTGTCTTTCGAAAGATATTTAAATGTGTCCAGCCACATCTCTAGAATTTCAGTAGAAGAGGAGGAGGAGGAGGAGGAGGAGAAGAAGAGGAGGAGGAGGAGAAGAAGAAGAAGAGAGGATGGATTTATACCCTCGCCCTTCACTACCCAAAGGAGTGTCAGACCGGCTTACAATCTCCCTTCCCCCCCCCCACAACAGACACCCTGTGTGGTAGGTGGGCCTGAGAGAGCTCTCTCGAGAACTACTCTTGAGAGAACTTGTAACTGACCCAAGGTCACACCAGCAGCTGCATGCGGAGGAGTGGGGAATCAAAGCCAGTTTTCCCAGATTAGAGTTCACGCTCCTAACCATTACACCAAACTGGCTCTCACGTTAAAAAGAATTCTGAGACTATATCCTTCAGTCGGGTGTACAGATCTGCGTGTGAGCTTGGTCTCGCAATGCTCTCGTGCAACGAAGTTACTTGCAAGAAATTGCTGATTTCAGAGGCATCTAGCGCATAAATTTTGGCAGCAGAAGGAAGAAGCAACCTTGTACTGATATCACAACGTGTAACAGAGACGGCTGGATAGTTTCAAAATCAGCACATATCTATGCTTCTGTTTTGCTTACAGATACTTACTGCTTTTAAGTGTAAGAATGAAGGAAAGGTCTATCAGTGACTACTAGCTATGGTGACTGAAAGAAACCTCCACTAAACCTCTGAATCCCAGAACCAGGAAGCAACATCAGGGGAAGGTCTTGGCCTCTATGCCCTGTTGTTGGCCATACAAAGGAACTGGTTGGCCACCGTGTGAGACAGGATGCTGGATTAGATGGACCACTGGTCTGATCCAGCAGGGCTCTTCTGGTGTTCTTATGAAAGCCTCGGCTTCTATGCCCTGTTGTTGGCCCTCCAGAGGAACTGGCTGGCTACTGTTTGAGACCGGATGCTGGACTGGATGGACCACTGGTCTGATCCAGCAAGGCTCTTCTTACGTTCTGTTGAAGGCCTTGGCCTCCATGCCCTGTTGTTGGCCCTCCAGAGGAACTGGTTGGCCACTGTGTGAGTCAGGATGCTGGACTAGATGCACCACTGGTCTGATCCAGCAGGGCTCTTCTGAGGTTCTTATGTCTCTGGCAACCAAGTTCAAGATAATTCATACCAGAGTATTTCCCATTACTAGGTATGTGTGTGTGAGCTGGGAGGGGAAAAGTTGTTTCCTTTGAAAAGTGGTGTTGGAGGAGAGTTTTGCGGATACAGTGGACCGCCAAAAAGACAAAGAAGGCTTCTAGATCAAATCAATCTTGAACTCTCCCGAGAAGCTAAAATGACTTAACTGAGGCTGTCATATTTCGGTCACATCATGACAAGATAAGACTCACTGGAAAAGACAGTAATGCTAGGAAAAGAGGTAGACCCAGCAGGAGATGGATTGACTCAGTCAAGGAATCCACAAAGGCCCTCAGTCTGCAAGGCCTGAGTGAGGCTGTGTCAGTAATGGGATGTTTTGGAGAACATTAATTCATAGGGTCGCCAAGAGTCAGGAGTGACTTGACAATACTTCACATGCACGCGCACACACATACACACAAACATACACACACCATCCTGCCTCAGTAATAAAAGGTTTATTGGTTTATGTTATTAAAGCAGTTTTACCCCCACCTTTCCTCATGGTTCAAGGTGGCCTAAGATAATTTTTGTTGCTGTTGTTCAGTCGCACAGTCGAGTCCGACTCTTTGCGACCCCATGGACCAGATCCCGCCAGGCCTTCCGGTCTTCCGCCGTCTTCTGAAGTTGGCTCAACTTCATGTTCGTTGCATCTATGACACTGTCTAACCATCTCATCCTTTGCCGTCCCCGTCTTCTTTGACCTTCAATCTTTCCCAGCATCAGGGTCTTCTCCAGGGAGTGCTCCCTTCTCATTTGGTGGCCAAAGTATTTGAGCTTCAGTTTCATCATCTGGCCTTCCAGGGAACAGTCAGGGTTGATTTCTTTTAGGATTGACTGATTTGATCTCCTTGGAGTCCAAGGGACTCTCAAGAGTCTTCTCCAGCACCATAGTTCAAAAGAATCTATTCTTCGGCACTCGGCCTTCCTTATAGTCCAACTCTCGCAGCCATACAGGACTACTGGGAATACCAGTTTGATAATATTTCCAATTAAAATAAAATAACTACACCCAGATCTCTCCTTCCCCACTTTTTGCACGGGGAGCTAGTGGGATGGGGGCGGGTTGCATCAGCTGCTGCAGAACAACTTGGTTGGCAACCCAGGGCATCATCAGTTCTGTTTATCATGGCCATCTCTTTTGTCTGCCATGGGTCTCGCCCGCAGGTAACATGTAGACTGGACCTGTCGAACGGCTGTCAAAGGAGTGCTGTGGAACTCCATCCCCTTGAAGAGCTGCCTGAGTCATTGTGGCGCAGTAGTTAGGAGCGCGGACTCTCATCTGGGAGAACCGGGTTTGATTCCCCACTCCTCCACATGCAGCTGCTGGTGTGACCTTGGGTCAGTCACAAGTTTTTTCAGAGCTGATTTCTCAAGGGCAGTTCTCGAGAGAGCTCTGTCAGCCCCACCTACCTCACAGGGGGTCTGTTGTGGGGAGGGGAAGGGGAAGGGATTGTAAACTGTTCTGAGATTCCTTTGTGTAGTGAAGGGCAGGGTATAAATCCAGTCTCTTCCTCTTCTCCTCCTCCTCCTCCTTTGCCCAAATATTGCAAAGTCCGGTTTATCTGACCTTTTAATCTGCTGCTTTAGGGGATGTTTTAACGTGGCATTTCCATTGTCTTTGGAATTCACTCTTCTTTTTAGGGAACAACCTGCTTTTAGCCTGTGCATGAATGTCAGACTACTTTAAAAAAATGAGGAGGGGCTAGAGCATCCGCTTGGCATGCAGAAGGCCCCAGGTTCGATCCCCGGCATCTCCAGTTAAAAGATCTGGCAGTAGGTGATGTGAAAGATCTCTGCCTGAGACCCTGGAGAGCCATGGAGTGTGACTATAGCTCAGTGGTAGAGCATCTGCTTGGCATGCAGGAGGTCCCAGGTTCAATCCCCGGCATCTCCAGGTAAAAGGACCAGGTAGTAGGCGGTGTGAAAGACCTCTGCCTGAGACCCAGGAGTGCTGCTGCCAATCTGAATAGACAATACTGACCTTGATGGTCTGATTCCATATAAGGCCACTTCATATGCATGTATAATATTTCCCTGTATAATTCTAAATAATTTTTTGGTTGGCACATGATTAAAAAAACAAAAACAAAAAAACAATCCTTTCTTTTTTCTTCCTAGGTCACTCTGCGGCACGCTAAATGCCTACCACCTGGCCTGCAGCAATTGCGCGGAAAACTGCACCTACGTTTTGTTCAGTAACCGGATTACTGTTTTGATGGATCTGTTGATGCACCAATTAACGGTACGTAAAGCTTCAACGTTCAGGTTGCCACGGGAGTTTCCTAGTTCGTGGATGCTGTGTGCCTGTAATGCTTGCTGCGACTGGACCCCTTACCGCCGTGTCCTCTCATAAGAAAAGATAAAGAAGAAGGATTGAAGGGCATTTTTAGATTCCATGTCTGGCGGCTAGATGCTAAAAAGGATAATGGCAGAGAGGAATTGCTATAAATATAAGTATTGGTATGAAATAGAGTAAAATTTAAGATATAATAAAACCATAAAATCAGAATAAGATAAACCATAGAATATAGGCAATTAATTAAATCAAAAGGTGTCTGCTAAGATCAATATTAATTAGTTCCCATAAGAACAGCGTTGGCCCTTATTTATTTATTTATTTGATTTGATTTGATTTCATTAGATTTTTGAACCGCCCTCCCCCTAACAATAGGGCTCGGGGCTGCATACATCATAGGTTTACAGTAGAATAAAATGCGTAAGTCTTTAAGCTGGCATAAAGCTCTGGTTTGGTTTTACCGCAAGAGGATGTATCTATTTATTTACTTATTTACTTCATCTATACCCCACCTTCCTCTTGGGTCTGGACCCAAATCGGCTTACTGTGTTCTCCTCTCCTTCATCTGTGCCAGGTCCCTGTGACACAGCAAGCTTCCATGGCAGTGTGGGGATTCGAATCTGGGTCTCCCAGTTCTGAGTCCAGCTCTTTAACCACCGTAGCACATTTGGCTCTCTATCTATTCCTTGGAGGGATTGGTTTCCAGAATTTAAAGGGGGAGGAGACATCAACCAACGCTGGGAGAATGAAAATATTTAATAGGAGAAGAGTTTAATTCTAAAAATCGAGGTTCTTCCATGCCCTATTTCAAATTATGACGGGCAGACCCAGATTTCAACAAACTGGTCGCTCGTTGTGACGTGTCATTCTAAACTTGGCATTACCTGTTTTGTCTTCTAATTCAGATTTGTTTTGTTGTTGTTGTTTTGGCCCCCCGAAGGGGATTTTTTTCAGATTTGTTTTAATTCCAAAAATGTATACCATCTTAAAAGTATAGTGTCTTAACAGGTTTGCAAGTCAGTTTTGTTTTTTTGTGTTTTTTTAAAAAAGACATTTAATGGCAAAACTTTTTACTTTCATTTAATTTCTGATGTCATTAAATATTTCATTAGGAGCTCATTTTTAATTCATAGTGGACCCTGCTCATCATGAGATATTTAGTCGGGAATTGCTACTTATAAATTGTATGTGTATATTTTCATGAGCCAAGCGGTTTGTTAATTGAAAAGTTATGTATGTGCCTTGAATAATTCACACGGCACTGTTGGAATCAACAAGCCATAGGACGGCTGACGAATACCGAAGAAAAGAAGCGCTCCAAAAGATTGCCGCGTACACAAAGAAACCGGGATGCCGCTTGTAAATTCTGCTTGTGTAGCCGTTTCCTGCCCCTTGTGTTTCGGCCAGATCTTTCTCTGAGGAAAGCCGAGAGTGGCTCCATCTTGGAGCCACAATATCGTCCAGGAAGAATGTGCACCTCGCACCCTCCAGAGTCCTATAAGCAGTGATGAGGTCAAGTAGGCCAATTTCCTCACCACCACCCTATCGTATCAGGTCACGTTAGAAGATCTCCAGTGGGAGAACAAGTTATACATCATCCTCCTAGAACTGCAGACCACTGACGTGGCTCTGGGAATCAAAGGCAGGACATCCCTCCACTGTCTGATAAAATCACAGTTGTAGTATATGTGAGGATCATCCAAGAGGAACGAGATCTCCCTTTTCGCAGAGACCGTAGCTCTTTCTCAGTAATCCACATCAGGGGTCATAGGATAATGGAAGGCTAAGCTCTAAATCCTGGGTGTCTGGATCTTTCGAGTTTTCCAGACCTTTGACAGTTGTCCTTGGCCATCTTGATTTTTGGATCTCGGCAAAGTGGGAATGGATGTATGTTCCCAAAGCTGGCCGAGAAGTTTGCTGTATACAGTTCCTCCCCCCACATCAATTGCCAGAGCGACTCGGGCCATTGTGGCTAGGTTGCTACTGGATAATCCCCACCTGCACCATTTTGGCTGGGTGCTCTTGAAGTCCAGACATTCTGAGGCTGAACAACAGCCATCGTTTCTCGGAGTAGAATCTAAGACCTGCCGGCTCAGAGCCCCATACGGGACAGCGATCTACTTATCCCTTCATCTCACCGCTTAAGTTCTGAACGCCTGTCGTATCGGAGACTTAGTGACTCAGACAAAGTGGTCTCCGCTTTAGCCTTTTCACAAAAGTGTCTCCAAGAAGGGTTCCGTCAACTGGCGGATCTTTACGTACTGATTCAAGGACTATGAAATCGAAACCATAGGGGGGATTGTCAGCGAAAATTCTGCCCATTCCTTGGATTATTATTTTTTTTAGTTAAAAAAAAAATCAAATACATACATGAGATAATCGCTTTTTCGGTTTCGAACCGTGATTATCACAGCTGCGTAGTTATTTCTTGATTTTCGGCAAAGGCTGTCTTCCCATTTCTAGAAAGGTGCAGGCGTAAGCCTTATAATTCATAATGCAGCCTTTAAACCACCTATTTTAGTGTGCGTCTTCGGCTTGGCAAGGCTCCCGCGCCGTATTTCCATACTCGTTCCGTGTGTGTTTTAAAAATAACCTCTGTGGGGCAAGACAGATTAATTTCTAATCATGTGTTCTCAGATAGATCAAAGGGGCCTTCCCAAATGCTTTTTTTTTTTTTTGAAGGGTGGGAGCCAAGCTGGCCAAACCGAGAAGAAACCTGAGCTCACCTGAACTTCATCTTAGGTGCTTTTGTTCATTCAAGTTAGGACTTTTCTCTCAGAAGTAACACAGCCCACTGTGGGTTAAACGATTTCACCATTTTGCAAGCCCGGGAATTAAAAACTAACCAAGGAGAACTGGATTCTTGCTCCCTTTTCTTCTTAAGCATAGTGTCTAAATTGTTTTCACTTTATGGTCAAGTTAGCCATGAACACAGCACATATTGACTTGGACAAAGGTGAGCTGGACATTTTGCTCCGTAAATGGGCCAATCCAGTTAACACAACGCTGCATGTCCCATTTGTACATAGAGGCTTGGGGGGGGGGTTGCATTTTTGTGTGCGTGCGTCTGTACCTGGAAGTCATGGTGACCTCTGGTGACTCCTACTGAGGCACGGAGGACGTTCAAAGAAATGGCTGGATAGCCTGCCTCTGCCTCCCAGCCCTGATATTCTTTGGAGGTCTCCCATCCAAATATTTGCCAGGGTTGGCCCTGCTTAGCTTCCAAGATCTGACGAGATCGGGCTTCCCTGGGCTATCCAGGTCAGGGCATTTCTGTGTGGGATTTTGAAGATCTCTCAAGGAACAGGTCTGGGAAACCATCTCTTACATGGGTACATATTTTATTTCTAATACTTCAAAATTCTTCCTTTCTTACCCAAAGTAGCTAGCATGAATGGTAAAATATCAGCATTATCGAAAAATGAATAAATTCGTTGTTGGTGTACCGCCGGTTGTGTATGAACTGTTACCCATCAACTGAGGTGTACCTCCCAGGGACTTCTTGGTTGTGGCACCACACCTCTTGAAAACCCCTTCTCATGGAGTTCCTTTAGTCCCCAGGCAAAAGCTGTCAGGATTTGGGGTTGTTGGTTTTCTCCTCCTGTGCTTCTGCTCACTCAAGTTGGGTTTTTAAAAATGTTTTGCCCTTTTCTGGGGAGTTTTTGTGTAATTTTAATTGTACTGGTTTTTTAGCTGTATTGCTGAGTTTGACTGCATCGTGACCTGCTGTTGAACAAATATCATTTGGAATAGTGCAATACAAAACAATGAGATCCTACAGAACCTTGCTACCAGCGGCAGTGCTTCTTGGCAGCGTAACACAATTCCTCGAACTCTACAGCTTGTGAAGAATTCCCGCCAATGTTAACAATTATAATAGCATAACTGATAAGCATTTTTCACCCTTCAGGCCTAAGAAGTAATTGAAACTCTCCATTATAATAATTCCACAGCACCAGGTACCAAAAGGGAACAGAACTTAATTTGCTAGGCCATAACCAAACACAGCAACAGACAACAGAAGTGAAAAATGGAACTAAAGCAATTTTTTTACCTTTAGGGATCATGTTAAAATAACTATACCATGCAATAAGGGAAAGTCAACAAAATCACATCTGTGCACAACATAATACCTACCATCTCTTCCCCTCCCCCCCTTTACATTCTTTAAATTAAAATAAAGACGGGGCCAGTTTTATTCAGAAGTGAGTCCCCGCTGAGTTCATTGGGGCTTCCTCTCCAGCTAACACGCCTAGGATTGTTGTCCGATTCTCCTGTTGTTGTGTTTTGGGATTAAATTGTTTTCAAACAGCTATGTCTGTGACACAGTTCTGATACAAATTAATCTACGGAGCTTTTATATCCTCGTTTTAACGCTTTAGGACATTTTCTTCCATTCAAAACCTTTTTTTTTTATAAAAAGTCCTAGAGTGCCATGGAAAGGCTTATTGAAATAAACGGTCCCGTCCAGTGGGATGGCATTTCTTGTTCAGCATCAGCCAGGGCTGGCTTTTAGTATTCAGGTTTTCCTAGCCATTGTTCTCGTACGGGTTTTTCTTCTCGGGAGGCTGAAGGACTGGAAATGTCAGGAGCTCCTGACCTCGACAGACCACCCACCTTCGGAAGCAGCCTGGGCCTAGAGCTTAATTGTTCAGTTTGCAGAGAAGGGAGCCAGCAGTATTTACTGCAAAACACACTCCAAAAGTGCACCTTTATTATTTTTTCCCCCAAGAACAGTTTCTGTTCGGGCAAGCCCGGAGGCTTTACGTCTACAGAAACTCCCGCAGCCCTGCCGATTTACCCGAGCAGGGTTCAGACACAAGGACCAGAGGGTTTTTTTTTTAACTGCGCAAGGTGTACAACGTCGCTTCCCCCCCCTCCTTCCGCACACGTCCCCCGAGGCGATCCTACCTAGAAGCACTTTCTGCTTTTAAGAGTAAATGCAG